CCTGTGCCCCTTTACTGCTTGGGATAGACCAGCCATCCCCTTGGACAACCATCCCCCTTGTCATCCCCTTGGGCAGAACCCCCCTGTTCAGATGCCTCAAGGCACTTCCCCTCCTTGTTGTTATTTACAGTATTTGAGTGTTAAATTAAAGGCTCAGCTTTTTGCTGTGCAGTGCTACACCTGCCCCCCTCTGCATCAGGGATAGTGGCACTGCAGCAAACAGCACAAAGCCATTCTTATTCTTTTGGGATTGAAGAGATACCCAGGGAGCAGCAAATATCACTGCTGAGCTCCTTTGTATACCCAGGTACAGAGAGGGCACTGAGTTCCTACTCAGAGAGGGACTAGGAGGCAAATACTTTGTGAATACACTTCATGACCTGGTTCTGATCTCACTAATCCAACCAAAATATAGAATTGATTCTGAGGAGTTACTCCTGGTTTTACTGGAGTTAATTAAACCAGGCTGTTGGTTTTTTTCCCTCATTCAGATCAGCCCACTGAGATGGATCCTCTACTTGCTTGTACAGTGACATTCAATGCTTGTTAAACTGAAGTAGCTCTAGAATTGCATTCAGATCAGCACATGAAATATAGATTTCAGTGGAACTTTAGATTTCATGCTTCCTGGGAAAGTAGTTGCATGTTTGTTCTACCTGGTTCTACCACCTTAAACAGGACAACTCAACAGTCCTGCAAGGCAAATAACAAACTTCCTCCATCAAAGCTGCAGAATCAGGATTTATTTTTTAGCTGAAGGGATTCACCAGCCCCAGTTGTTCAGCAGAGCCTTTGCGTGTGTTTTCTTATGCACAAGAGCATCTGAAAATGCAACTTTCCCCTCCATTCCCTAAAGTATCTCCACATTTCCCTGAGAGAGAATGACCACCCAAAATGAAATCAGAATATGGCCTTGACTTCTTCACGGAATAAAATGCCAGCAGTAAGTTCTGCTGCTTCTCACAGCCTTCTAGATGACCAGGCACCCCTGGATATGAAGTGTCACTCAAAGCAGACTTTCAGTAGTTAATCACTGTTCCACCAGCCTCGAAATGGAAACCCTTTTCTGCATGGACTCAAAGCTTGTCTGGTTTCCCCGTACCTTAATTAAGCATCTTCTCCATCATCTGCCAAACTGCTGCTTAACACATCCTGGCAACCTGCCCCTCATATATTGCAGCAGATATGGCTGGCAACAAACAGAGCTTATCATGGGGTATTAATTACTTAAGCATAAAAAACATTCCCTCTTCTCTCAGCTTCATGATCTGCTCTTTCTCATGGAAATATATTTGTAATAACGAGAGAGACAAAACAATGAGGCAGTAAATTTAAGCCTAAAATGAGTGACGAGTCTCGCAATGAGTGAAAGTTAATTCCAGGCAAAATAAAATGAGGAGTAAATGTGCAAACAGCCACTTTGATTAACCACTGGAACCAACTGCCAAGGAAGGGCCGGATTTTTTCATGATATCACAGAATCCCAGAATATGCTGAGTTGGAAGGGGCCCAGAAGGATCACGGAGTCCAACCCTCAGCCCTGCACAGGACACTCTAAAAGTCACACCATGTGCCTGAGAGCATTGATATCTTCAGATCAGCTTAAGAAATATCCTTTAGTCAAAATAAGGAGTCCAAATAAGCATAAATATGAAAACTCATCCAGGAGAAAAAAGCACACAAAGCACACGGGTCAGCTTGGCCATCCAGGAGCACCAGTGGCACTGCCCAAGACCAGAACAGCTCAAAGGCTGGGCCTGGGAAAGCAAAGGATGGAATAAACTCAGTGGGTGTGCAGGGATCCCTCCCACTGCATTCCCAAGCCCTCCATGAAAGCAAGGAGAACACAAAGCCTTGCTGGGTGCAGAGCCTGCTCATCAGCTCTCCTGCTACACAAGTGTTTCCAGCTCCTGCCACAGGGAGGAAAATAAAGCACCAGAAACGCAGCTTTTGGTTGCTTCAAACCTCTCATTAATGCCTGCAGGACACAAACACACCTGGGATCCCATTCTGCCTCCAGCCCCGACTCTGACACATGTGCTGTGTGTGCCAGGCAGGGTTTAGCTCTGGGCTGTTGGGAAATCATCTCAACGTGTAGTTCTGCCTGTTGGGAAGACAATTTATATGTATGTGGAGGCACCTGGACTCATGAGGAATAATAAAGCCCTCAGGGAGTGTGTTAAAATGCAGGATTCAGGCAGGAATGTTTGTGTTTGGGAGTATATTCTGTGTACACACACAGCAGAGGCAGCTCTGAGAGCTGCTGTTCTGTACAAATGCATAAGTGGCTCCTACAGAAGTTGTGGATGGATTCTGTTGTGAATTTGGCTTATCAGTGATACATTCATAAAGCAGATGTAATTATTCAGTCTTTTGAATATGTATTTTTAGCTTGTTTACTGGGTGCATTATGGAAATGTGAATGGCTATTTGTGCATGAATAGTGTGTTTACAGGTTATAAATGTTTCTTGTGGAGTATTAGTTAATATTTTTTTAAAGTACACTGATGAGTGTCTAGTTATATTGGATATTTATGTGGGTGGACATATCTATGTGAGCTATTTAAACTCACATAAGAGATGCAGACTTGTATTTAAATGTTCATTAAAACAGAGAGTGGGTCTATTATGTTTTTATTCCTGTGGTTTATTGTCCCTGTGGAACAGTGGGAAAACTGATATAATAAAGTGATATAATTTCCAGAGATGACAATTCTGGAAGAGGTGCTATCCCTTCCTTTCAGAAAAGTTCAATATGCCCCCTAAATCTCTCTTTGGGATAGATTTCAGGAGAAGGACAACCCTGGAGTCTGCCTGCCATGCTTTGGAAAGGGTACGACTGGATTGTGTCACCAAACCCAAAAAACTCATGGCCAGGCTGCACAACTTGAAAATATGGTTTAAAAAACATACAAAACATGGGGTGCACCCAGCTCTGGGGGACACCCTCCTCCAGATCTGCCCAGCTCATTGAGGAATGAGCTGTGTCTCCAATTGTAGAGACCCAGGGAAGTTCTGTGGCTGCCGCTCCCACGGGCACTGTTGGAAGCACTGATTTAACTTGGCCAGATTTGCAGATTCCAAGCACAGAACGAGGCCATGAAGCCATCAGAGTACAGAGCTGCTCCAGGGCTTTGTTTGAGAGGAGAGAAACACCTTCCTTGTCTCCCATCCCCTGCACTGGGATGCATTTTCACCCTGCTCCCCAGCCCAGTCCTCAGCAATTCTCCGGCCAGCAGTGTCCGATGTGGCACAGCCGGAATTCCCGGTGTGCAGGGCTCTGAATTCCCAGAGCTGACAGTGCCAGGAAGGAGCAGTTTTGTGTGATGAAGTCTCGAGGGCAATGAGCAGAGGAAAGGGGGGTTTGGATGTTTGGAGGTGGTTCCTTCTCTCTGGTTCCAGCCAGGAAAGGGAAGGTGTGCAGGGAATCCAGGGCCCTTCGCAGGCTCTCCCAGGAGGGACCCATCAAACCCTGTTCAACTGAGCTGGACAAGGCAGCTCGTTGGGCAGGGCTTACATAACATCCCTCTGAGAGCTCAAACTGCCTCTGCCTTGCACACATCCTTTGCAGTTTTACTTTCCACTCCCATCTCCTCCGTTAGTTCACTGCAGCTACGGAGTGAAAAAATTCTGAAAACTGGTTTTGACACATAATTATCTTGCAGAGGTAGGGGGAGAAGAGAAGGGATCAGAAAAAGAACAAACCCTTCTAAGAATCTGATTTTTCTCCCTATTTTTTGCCCCCTGTTCCTCTGAGGCTTAGGATGGAAAAAGAGGAAGTTGAGCAGAAAAACTAAGATGAGATCTTTGGAAAAACACTGTTCTCTCCCAGTCTGCAAGATGCTTTCTAGAACTGACTAGTGTTTCAGATGAAGTTACTTCACTTGGAAAGTTCCTGTGTAACATAATGGTAATTCCTGTATCCTGGAGGCCAAACTGGCTGCTGGTTCTTAACATGGGATTAAGTACAACAGAATCATGTCGTGTTCATTCTGTCACCTCCTCAGAAAAAAAGAACAAAACTCAAATTTCTCTTTTATCTACATTCTAACAATCCATCTCTAAAGTATGTCTTGTCCCTATAGATAATATTCTCCCCTTTGTTTCCATGTCAATAAGACATATTTCCAGTTTATCTTGTCTTTGTATTAATATAAAGAGGTAAAACCATATTTCAGGTCCCAAGTGTGCAGCTCAGTCCATCCCTACTACAATGCACATTTATTTCACAGTCCACTCCTATATGGAAAATAACTCTTCCATATTATATATTCTTCATTCCATTTAATAAAGAAGTAGTTCTGCAGGTGTCTTATTTTTTCCACCAAAGTTTGAGAGATAAGATTTTCCCCAACAAGGCCAGTTTTTTCCTGTGTTGTTGGAATTTGTGGAAATCTTTCATCTCACAGACTATTTTTCCTCATTCCTTTTCTGGACAGGACAAGCCTCTTTGGGAAATCTGGTTCTCTGCCCCTTCTAAAGATCAAAACTGGTGGTTTCAGTTGTGTCAGTGTGTGTTCCCATTACAGGAACATCAGCATCTCAACCTTTATTTTAAATACATACTTTGCAGAAGAGCAAAGAATTTTCTGAACTACTCCAGGGACTCTGAAAGTCCAAAACATTTCAAGTCCCAGATAGCCACTTCCTTTGTTTGAAATCATCACTTGGAACTGAAACTGGAACATCCAGGCCAGAAAAAAACCTTCACTGGGGCAAGATCTAAATTTACTCGGATCATGGGCAACCTGTGAAAGGTGTCAGAGATTCCATGAAGAGATGACACAAAGCACTTCAGTTGGAGAAGACAAAAAGACAAAATGTTGGATAAAATATGCTAAAGGTTTGCAGGGAAAGCTGCCCCGTTCATATCAGATTTTGCAGCAAATAAATCACAATGCCTGTGATCCTGGAGGAAAACACTGAAATCTATTTGTAAAATTCATGAAGGTAAAATACTTCACTATATACAAGAAGACTTTTTTTTCCTTTTTTTTTTTTTTTTTAATTTAGCTGTAACAATGTCTACAATACATTGACTCACAAATTAAGTGAAGGCATGAAATCACATTCTTCATACTGAGATGGGCCATTCTGGACTTTTTGAACCCCCTCGGGAAGGAGAAGAGTTCTGAATGTCCAACGAACACCTTTTGAAACAACCAGTGGTGGGAATTTCAGTTTTACCGGCGGTGAGATGGAGTGAGCCTCGTCCACAGGGATCAGAGAGCTTTGCAGGGGAGAGCAAAGCCTCGCTGTACAGAGGAAAGGGAGGGAACCGAGGCACTGCTGTGCTGGGCTCGCCAGGATGGCGCGGCAGGAGCAGAGCTCGGGACACCAATCCCAGTCTGGCTCCCGGTCAGTTCCCGGCTCTCCACACCAGTCTCCCAGTGGGTGTGGGTGGGTCGGGTGTTATACGGGCATCTCTCCTGCTGTGCCATTGGCTCCATCCAATCCTGCCGGCTCCCTGCCTTCCTCCTCCTCCTCCTCCTCCTCCTCCTCCCGGGCTGTCTCTGCCTCCCTGCCCCCGCTGAGCGGGGTGGCACCGCAGAGGTGGCCCAGGAGCTGCCCTTCCCGGCGGGACTCGGCCAGTTCCTTGGCACAGCACACGGGGGTGTTGGTCTCGTAGGTGCTGTGGAAGCTGTTATAGTCCACCTCGTAAAAGTCCTTCTCCAGGGTGAGCACGGGGGTGAAGCGGTGTCCCCACAGCACCTCGGTGTCCATGTAGGAGCTGCGAGCCTGGCAAGTCATCCCTGCGCAGAGAGAGAGGGATGTTAATGCAGCGCTGGCTCAGCGCTCACCCGACCGCTGCGCTCCCCTAAAAGCACTTTCGTGTCGTTTCCAGCCCCGGTTGCTATGGGACACACGAACGGCTTCGCTTAACGAGCCTCACAAAAGCCTCCGCCACGAGCAGCTGAGCCCCCTCGGGCAAGGGACGGATTCCTGGGATTCCGTGCCCTCCGCTCCCTGCCCCTCGTGCTGTGCTGCTGGCACCGCCAGGAATGGGAATGAGAACGGGAATGGGAATGGCACGGGAACAAACCCCGGCCCGGCCAGGGCACCCCAACCCTGACCCACAGAGCCCTGAGCAGGGGGAGCCACTTCCCTGCCCTCCTCCGGGTCCGACCCCATCCCTCCCCAGCTCCAGCAGGGCCAGGATTCCCTGGGAAGGGAAGGTCTGGGAAGGTTTGGGGAGGGGAGGAGAGGAGAGGTTTGGGAAGGGAAGGTTTGGGAAGGCTTGGGAAGGGAAGACTTGGGAAGGCTTGGGAAGGAAGAGAAGGTTTGGGAGGGAAGGTTTGGGAAGGTTTGGGAAGGGAAGGTTTGGGAAGGTTTGGGAAGGTTTGGGAAGGTTTGGGAAGGGAAGGTTTGGGAAGGGAAGGTTTGGGAAGGTTTGGGAAGGTTTGGGAAGGTTTGGGAAGGTTTGGGAAGGTTTGGGAAGGGAAGGGAAGGGAAGGGAAGGGAAGGGAAGGGAAGGGAAGGGAAGGGAAGGGAAGGGAAGGGAAGGGAAGGGAAGGGAAGGGAAGGGAAGGGAAGGGAAGGGAAGGGAAGGGAAGGGAAGGGAAGGGAAGGTAGGATCTGCAGAGCGTGTCATCATGCGGAGTGATGGTTTATAGAAAAAATAATAATTTAAAAACTGGACTCTCTAATTGGATGAGCCGAATTGTTCATGGCAGGTGGAGACCCCTGGATGTTCAGCCACAAAGTGACAGGGCCCCAATTCCTCATGACAGATGGGACAAACTGGCTTTTAAATACCTCTGGAGGGTTCAGTCCCATGTTTTAATGGATTTTGGGCTGAGTGAACAGTGGGCAACAGGAAACTGATACTTGTTAAGCTGCTTCTCAGCCCCAAGGATCAGAGTTTATTCACTTTGGAAAAGTTTAAAGAGAAGCTTTGCAGAGCAGGGATAAGTGTAACTGTGAACAAATCCTCTTGGAATCACCTGCCACTGTCAAGGCTGACTTTTCTTCCAAACACTTTTCTTGGGTTTGTCCTAATTATGTTATGATTTTGGAATTAATTCTGGTGAAATTTGGAAAACCTGACCTGACAAAGTCTTCCCACTGTTCTCTTGTGGAGAGTAAGAGATTGGCCTGACTGGAATACATTCAAAACATGTACTTGACCCAGTTCCTGGCCAATACTTCCAAGTCTAATTACTGCAGCCCCAAGCACACAGACAGAAATCTAAAGCAAAGGGGCCAAAACGTTAGATATTTCAGGGCAGAACAAATCATCTATTCCCCCCATGGGAGCTCAGCTGAGTGACTGAAATCTCGGAGTAATCAGAAAACTCCTTTCCTTTAAAAAAACCCAAAGCATCTTGGCAAAAAGATGAATATTTTGTTCTCATAATTGCTACAGTCCATTAAAAGACACCCACACAAGCAAGTGCTCTGCAAAACTTGACTGGTCTCTTACTGCTTCCCTCAGTTTAAAGCTCCCAGGCCAGGATGTATTAGTTGCTTTTGGTTCTTGAAAGGGGAAAAGGGGGACAGTGGCACACTGAGAAATCTCCAGCTCTGTATCACAGACTGAAAAGCCAATTCCCCCCCCCCCAGGATCTGCAGGAGGATTTGCTTCTGGGCAGGAACAACAAGTGCAGTGTTAGTCACAGTGTTCGGCTTCCTGGGCCGGAAGGAACCGGGAAGTGCAGAGACTGCTCTGAAAAATAAAATCAGGGGAGAAAAAAACCACCCCAGGTGGTGTTGCCTTAAGGAGAAGCTCTTCCAGAAGCTTTTCAGGGAGCTCTCAGCTGTTGCTCTAGAACTAAAGACCAGAGCGAGCCCACTCCTGATGCGGTGGCACCACAACGTGCAGCCTCTCCTGCCTGGGCTCCTCAGCCCTCGAGGGGAAGAGGTTAAACCCCTCACTCCTTTGGGTCTGCTCAACACTCAGCCAGCCCAGGGAGTCCTGAGGATCTCAGAGTCCTGTTGATCTCTGAGTCCTGCTGAGCTCTGAGTCCTGTTGGTCTCTGTGTCCTCCTGGTCTCGGAGTCCTGCTGCAGGTTTTCTCAGCAGATCTGTGCCACTGACCCTGTTGAGCTCCCTGGGCAAGGGCTTTTCTCCCAGGCTGTTTGCATGGGCAGTGGTGCAGGGCTGCAGGGATAATCCCATTTCCTGATGCTGCCTTGTGCTGGGAGGCCAGAAGGTTGGAAACCAGCAGCACATGTATGTGCAGTGAGGAGATGGTTAAAACAAACCAGCCCTTTTTCCTTCAGACAGAGCTGGTTTTGCATCAGAAATCCCAAACACCTCCAGGTGTCTTCTCCAAACCCAGCAAAGCAGGAGAGGAGACCACAGAGGCTCCAGGATCAGTTCTGTGAATGAACCAGCTCATTCTTATCACAGCCTTCCAAGTGCTACATCAAAGTGTCCTGGAGAAATCCCCAAGGCCAAGGTGGGGTGTCCCTGTGAATGTGGAGGCCTGAGGCACTCTAAGGAAACTCCTGCCTTATAATCCCAGCCTGAAATAGCTCCTTCCCTGGGGGGGTACCTGACAGTGAACCTGAGCTCCAGGGACATGATCCCAGTTCTCCTGCTGTAAGTATCCAATTAAAGCAGGAACAATAGAAAGCTTTCAGCGACCAAATCCTGCACACTGCCAGCTTCCTGCAGTAGCTGCTTTCTGTAACCCCAGGGGTACACTGAGCTAGCACAATAAGACAACTTGTAATTGCTCCATAATCCCATTCAAATATTCCTTTTTAGCACATGTGCAGTGGTGTTTTAATTGCGTGGGGACACAGTGCTTGGCAACTCCTACATTCCCCAGTAAACAACAGCATTGTCTCTGCTTCAAATTCCAATAAGTGCCTGCTTTACAGGCTGCCCTGTGCTCTCCAGCCTGGTTAATTAATGCATCTGTAATGTCCCCAGCTAATTATTGCCTCTGTAACTGCAAAAAGATGACAGAAGAAGTGTGGAAACAATAAACCTTATTTTTATTAAGAACACATGGCTGCAGCCACTTGGCACTGGCACACAACGTGCACCATGCCCTCCGTGCTCGGAACATCCCAGTTCCAGCTTCCAGAGGGGCACAGCAATTCAACAATCTCAACTGAGATCTCTCATACTCGGCTGTGTGTCTCTGCAAAAATCACCTGCTTAATTTCAGAAGCCTCGTTTATCCGAGTCCATGGGGTGTCTGGGGCGTAAGGAGTCACTTTTCATAGAAAGCAGAATCACAGACCATCTTGAACCAGAAGAGACCCACAAGGATCGTGGAGTCCAGCTCCTGGCTGCAAACAGGACTACACCTGGGTACCACAAAAACTTTGACACTGCTGGTCTACATCTCTGCAGTGGCATCTGTGCAACCCTGAGGCACTGACACCTCGGGGAGCACGAGAAATCAAGAGAGATTGCAAACTCCCCAGATTTTTTGCAAAGTTAATCACAGGATTTATGGCCCTGGTAAAGGCTGTTAATCCTTTCTTAAAGTGGATTTAACTACCTCCATAACACACAGAGTTATAGAGAAGAGGCATTTGGTGACTTGGGTGTTTCATTTAAATAACCTTCATGCCAAAAGAAAACAGAATCCCAGAGTGGTTTTGGGTTGGGAGGGACACTAAAGCTCACCCAGTGCCACCCCCTGCCATGGGCAGGGACACCTTCCACTAGCCCAGGGTGCTCCAAGCCCCATCCAACCTGGCCTTGGACACTTCCAGGGATCCAGGGGCAGCCACAGCTTCTCTGGGCAACCTGTGCCAGGGCCCCACCACCCTCACAGCCAACAATTCCTTCCCAATATCTCATCTAACCCTGCCCTCTGGCAGTGGGAAGCCATTCCCTGTGTCTTGTCCCTCCATCCCTTGTCCCAAATCCCTTTCCAGCTCTCCTGGAGCCCCTTTAGGCCCTGGAAGGGGCTCTCAGGTCTTCTTGGAGCCACCTCTCCTCGAGGCTGGACATTCCCAGCTCTCCCAGCCTGGCTCCAGAGCAGAGGGGCTCCAGTTCTTGGAGCATCTCCATGGCCCTATATCTTCATTTTCACTTTGTCAACCTAAGTAGACGTTCTTTAAAATTTACTTAAATTTAAAGTCACAAAGATTTATATTTTTCAAGAGTATCATGTTTTCTGGATTGTAAGACCATTAGAAGTTTCATTTTCTCCTAAACAATCTGGTTTAAAAAAATGTGTACAATCCGTCAATTTTGGAAAATGGAAATGGTTTGTGAAATCTTCAGCTGTCAAGTTCTGGTCGCAGCTTTGTCATCTCTTAATTCAGCAGCTCAGGTTTGGGTTACAAACAAAACTCAATTTTAATTGAAAACAGAAAAAAGTTTCGTACAAAGTTATAAGCAGATGCATCAAGTTTTCAATAAAGCTGAAAACCAGTCCCAGGCTTTTTAGCTGGAGACCAGGGGACTGTCTCCTGGTTTCAGGTTCTGCAATAAACATTTCACAGAGTTTTAATGATAATTTCATTATAGCAGAAGAAGGGGATTTTTTTGTCTGTGGGCTGAGGTCACAGATCAATAACAGAGCTGGGCATGTTCCCATTTCAGGCAGCCAGAGATTCTTCCTAAATAGCTTTTTTCTGCTTCCCAGCAGATGCAAAGATACAAAATATATTGGGCAGTGTATGAAAGCAGGTGTTTCATTGCAGCTGAGAACAGAGAGTTGCTGAGGAAACACCGGTGTGTGAAATCATGTCAGGGAACTCTGGCACATAATGAGGCCCTTTGCTGTCATCCAAATCAGCTGGATCAGGCAGCTCTGGTGTTCCCAAAGCCCAGGGATGTG